TGTCACCATCAAGAGAGCTCTGAAGCCTGATTGGCCACTTGGTGGGCCTGAGGACTAGCATTTGTCTAATGTTTTCAGATGTCATGAGGCTCTCACACAGGTGTCACTTCATATGGTGACCATGACAATCCAGCCAGGGAGATACCTCAATCCCTGTTTTTAGAGACCAGATCAGAGAACAAAGCGCCTTGGCCAAGCTCATGGCACAGTGATCAGAGGTGGGAAACTTCACCCCAGACCTGGCTGATGCCATGGGCAGGGCCGCACCAGGACACAGGCTGCTCCTCTGTCAGGAGGAGATTCTTGAACCAGGGAGCTGACTGCCATGATGGTTTCTCAGATCCTTTCTGATTCTAATAGTCTGTGCTCCTCTCAGTAGAATGAGGGGGTTGGAGAAAACCAAGAACGTTAAAAGAATTCTGTGCTCCCCAATGAAATCTACCATAGAATGCCAAAATATAAAATAGATAATTGCTTCGACCCAAATGTCCATCAAGTGACAAACGGATAATAAAATATAACATATCCATATAACGGAACATTATTTGGCCATAAAAAGGAATACAGTACTGATACGTGCCACAACGTTGGTGAGCTTTGAAAACATGCTAAGTGAAAGAAGCCAGACACAGAAGACTGCACATTGTATGATTCTACTCATATGACTTGTGTAGAATAGGTCAATCCAGAGACAGAGAGTCGGTTGGGGGAGGTAGGAATGAGGAGTGGCTGCTCCATGGGTACAGGGTTTCCTTTTGGGGTGACAAGACATTTTGGAAGCAGTTAGATGGGGTGGTGGTTGCATAACATTGTGAATGTACTAGGGGCCATGGAATTTAAATAGTTAATTTTATATTATGTGAATTTTACATCCATATATGTGTGTGTATGTATAGATATATGATATTTCCAAGGGTGCCCGGGTGGCTCAGTCAGTTAAGCATCCGACTTCAGCTCAGGTCATGATCTCACAGTTCATGGGTTCAAGCCCCGCATCAGGCTCCGTGCTGCCAGCTCAGAGCCTGGAGCCTGCTTCAGATTCTGTGTCTCGTCTCTCTCTGCCCCTCCCCCACTTACATTCTGTCTCTCTCTCAATAAAAAGATACTTTAAAAAAGATTAAAAATTTTAAAAAAAGATATATGATATTTCCAGGGTCCCACCCCATGAGCCCCCCCTTCCCATGTCCCTGCAATGCCTCCAAAGAACCCTAATGTGTAAATTAGAGACACTACATGTTATAAAATGTTATCATAGTTCAAAAGAGTTGTCATAATGACAGCTATTTTATTCCTTCAGGGGCCAATGGTATTTTTTCTTAATCCAACAAATAAATGTGGCTGGGCCAGTAACATCTTGCTACTCAGGAACGGAAACTTCCATGGGCAAATAGCTCCAATGTCCACACTGGTCTAGCAGCTTCAATTTTAGGATACGTCACTGGTTTTTTAACTCAGAATTCTACTCTAAGTATACCAGGAAAGATAACAATAGCTAAGCTTTATTTTTTGGGTTTTTTTCATACTCTAGTAGATTATTTTATTGTTGAGTGGTGAGCTAAACATGATTAAGTGGCTACTGTGAACAGTTTTTCATGTTGTTTCATTTAAATGTCATTTTATAGAAAAGGACACGGAGGCTGCCCAGCTCCTCAGTGTCCCCAATATCAGAACTTCAGTCTCGTCTATGCAAGCTCAGGAGACAGCCTCCAGCTCGGCCAGGATGGGTCCCAGCAGTCACCAGCTCCGTGCCCATGGAAGCTGCTTTCAGTCCCACCAGGACACTGACCCCAGCCTGTCAGCACTGAGGTGTGTGAAGATTTCTGGCGCATGGACACACGTCTCCTCTGCACCTTCCCAGAGAAGCTGAGAGGCATGAAGAGGTCAGGACGTCTATCTACCATTTTTCTTCAGTCTGTATGAGGAGAGTGAAGACTCACCTCAGTGGTCTTGCTGACGACTTGTGCTCAAGTGGAAGTAGTGGGGGACACTGTGGACCTTCATTTGCTGAAGAGTTGTAGAGAAAAGCTAGGGTATCATTTGTTTTTAAAGGTTTAGGTCATGGGCGCCTGGGTGGCTGAGTCGGTTGAGCAACTGACTCTTGGTTTCAGCCCGTGTCATGATCTCACGGTTTGTGAAATCGAACCCCGGATCAGCCTCCATGCTGACACCATGGAGCCTGCTTGGGATTCTCTCTCCCTCCCTCCCTCCCTCCCTCCCTCTCTCTCTCTCTCTCTGTTCCTCCCCTACACACACACTCTTTCTCAAAATAAATAAATTTAAGGGGTGCCCTGGTGGCTCAGTCAGGTGAGCACCCAACTTCGGCCCAGGTCATGATCTTCGCAGTTCGTGAGTTTGAGCCCCGCATTGTGCTCTGTGCTGACAGAGTGGAGGCTAGAGCCTGCTTTGAGTTCTGTGTCTCCCTCTCTCTCTGCCCCTCCCCCTTTTCAAGTTCTATCTCCCACTCTCTCTCAAAAATAAACATAAAAAAATAATAAAAATAAATAAATTTAAAAAAATAAAGGTTTAGGCCGGATCCTATTTAAACACAAGACACTCTGGTTTTGAAAGCTCCCTCCCATCCCAGAAGCCTAGTGACTTCACTTTCTGCAGAGTGACCTTGTCTCACGTATGATTCAGCACTACGACACTGGGCATTTTCTGTGGGCATACGTATGACGCTTTTTCAAGTTATTCTGAAACATTTCTACACAGAGGAGTTGAGGATAATTTTAGCCGTTTTTATCTGCATGGTAAAGTTACCAAAATGGTAATGATAATTCCTTACATATAAATGCACTTTACAGATTACAAAGTACTTTCATGGACAATCATTACTGTTTTTTTTAAAAGATGAAATTTAGGAAGATTATCAGTAAGTGACATTTGGCTATTAATATACACTCTTATATTCTAGGTAAGAAAAGGGGGAGATGAAAGGGTTTTATATTAGAATTGAAGTCAGTTTCTAGAAATTTTACCTGTTCCCGGTTATCAATTTTTCAAAAAGCCAATGCTCCTTCAGCTAAAACAAGGTTCTGCGACTTATGATTGACAAGCGGCAAACGCCTTTCCCATCTTTCCTGTGGTCCTGTGCCCCATTGCTATTAAATTTTAGTTATGTAGCTCACAGACATGATACAGAATGCCAGGTGTAGGTAAAAAAACAAAAACAAACAAAACAAAACCCAAAACAACACAAAAACACACACAAAAAACAAAAAAACTAAAACAAGAAGAAAGCTAATGATGTTTCAATACCATTTGATGTGAAAATATAGTGATACTTTTATATCTTTTCCCGGTTTTGGTGGCCACACCATGGCCTCTGGATTTGCTCACACACACACACACACACACACACACACACACACGCACAAAATCAGACTGCTATGTGTCGAAGTCATCTTTAAAGAGCTGTCCCAGCGTGCCATACAGACACCGAGAGCCACCGAAACCTGGCCACAGTGCTACACAATCTCTCCAGACCTAACCTCTATCAGAGAGATCAATAACCCTTAGAGAACAGATATCCAAGGAATGGGTTTTATTGTAATTAATCTGACCAAACTGCAATCCATCTGCTGCTGTCCCGTAGGGATGGCTAACGAAAGCAGGTAGGTGCACGTACGGGTGGGTACGTTACCTGTAGTGCTGGGGCCACACCCCATCGGGGCAGAGCGGACAGGCCACCACTCTGAGGCTCACATCGGCGGAAGCCACACCTGGCAGGCCTGGCCCTCCGAACTGCAGGTGAAGGTCCTCAGCCAGGCCTTGCCGACAATGGCAACCTGTGCTTCCTGCGGCGAACATCCAGGAGCAGCACTCGACAGAGCAGGCCCCATCCAGCCCGACTTAGAATATGACAAATGCTCCTACTGAGTGACATTTCCTGCCGGGCGGTGGCACTCAACCTTGGCTGCACGGTAGAATTGCCTAGGGAACCTAAAACACGTCTGTGGCCAGGCCTCCAGCCCAGGCTCATTAAAATCAGCATCTCTAGAATGGGGGCCCTCGCCCTGGTATTTATGAAAGCTCTCCAGATGGTTCTAACGTGCAGCCAAGGGAGAAGCATCACTGCTTGAATATTCTAGCACTGTCTGGGCTTGAGCCCAGCTGATGAGGTGCTGCAGTAGAGGAACCTGCAAAACACCACTTGCTTAGGAAAGGGAAGTCAATGTTCCTTCTGGTGTTGAACCACAGCTGATAAGTGCTTTATTTGTCTGCGAGCGTTTAGGTCAAGCTGATTTGTCCGTGGCAAGGGGAGTAGCGGGGAGACAAGGAGTGCTTTGATTTTTCTGCCTAAAACAAGCATAACGATATTTACTTTGTGAGACCCAGGAATCTGATAAAAACAAAACAAAATACCCAATTGAAATGCCGTTCATTTCCGGGGTGATTCCAGGGAGGGAGGGGCAAGGCACCTACTCCCACCAATGCCCAACTGGGATAACGCGCCCTGGGGTCAGTGGGACGGAAAAGAACAAGAGCTGTAAAGATTACAGAACGTCCAGAACTTCCTTCAAGTGGCTCTGGAACTGTTGAAACGAAAAGCTTATCCTGCAAGAGTGTAAACGTCCGGAAGAAAGTAAAAACGAAATGATCCTTATCACGTCCAAACCTGTGGCCCTCTCCTGGCTTTTGTTTTACCCTCCCGTTATGTTCGGGCATTTCCAGGAGAAGCTCTACGTGAACAGTGGTGGGTGAGAGGAGACGCCATCTCAGGGGAGAGTGGGTTCTAGAAGAGACTTTCCAGATTCAGATAACAATCAGCTAAAAATTCATCCAGCTGAATCCCAAATGTCAGATTCTTAAACAGAGTCTCCATCTCCTGATTGTAAGTCACTCTGTTTGGAGGCTGATGTCCACAAATGAAAATATGATGGCTGAGATGGTTTAATATGTAAACCTCACTCACAGTGTTACAATGTTCTAAGAGACCTTAGCTGCTCAGGACACTGCCAGCAGAGTGGATAGAAATAAATGATATAAAATACACTCACTGGTTCTCTCTTTTCTTCTTAAGTGGATCCATGAGGCGTAATGTGTCTCTGATCACGGCCACCTTCACTTCTTCATCGACAAGGCTGGGGACATTTTCAAAGACCCCTGGAGAAAGCTTGAATGGGTAAGGACTCAGTGTTAACAGCAGAGAGAGTGATTCGGTACCAAGTACCTATCAGCACCAGCTTCATATACTGTTAAGGCTTTGGTTATGCTAATCTATAGGAGAGAATTTTTTAAAGCCCCCCCTTTATGTTATTTTTACAATGTCAGCTTCCTTTAACGGATCAACAAAATAGGTAAAGGGGAAATACACACATAAGGAGCACTATGTTTTTCTAATTATCAAAATCATACATGCTCGCTGCTGTCTTCTATATTTGGAAATATAGAAGGTGCTTAGAAAATTAAAGAAATCCACATAATCCCCCCAAAACCCAATATTGGTATTTGATATATTGCCTTCCAGTCTCTTTTATGCATCTTTAAGGGGGGTGGGAGAGGAAAAATTATAACCACTGTTGGAAGTACTATTTATCTTAGTGATTCAAGTATGTCGACGTGGCTAAATCATAGTCCTAGAATTTCAATTAGTTCATCTCCCGAGGCTAACTAATTAGTTCATGTCAAAACTGATGGAAAGGTTCAGCTGCTTCTGTGTCTGCAGACCTTAAAAATTGGAAGAATGGCATGCTGAGAAGCTACCAGGGGTCGGGTAGGTCTTATATTTATAGACTCTGTTCAGAGTTCCACAAAACTGAATTTGGACTTGAACAGAAGTTTGCTGTGCAAATCTGAGAATGCTGAGTCTCGTTTTGCTGAGTGAGAGAGGGCGTGTGCATTTGTATGGCGATATACTCCACGAGACGTTTAAAGTACTCACTTCTTGCTCATGTTCGATTCTCATGCTGGGATTTGCATTTACTTCCAGTAGAATAGGCTTCAGATTTTTCATCAGAAGGATGTCAAAGCCTAGAATCTGGGCAGGAGAAACATAATTCAGGGTTACTCCCTCCCACTACAATTTCTTTTCAGGAATCGAGTACGGTGTTAGGGTCATTAAGGTGACGATAAGTGCAAGCTTGGCCCCCAACCTGGGCCTTGACCTTGGCTTCTCTTGTCCACAGCCCCTCTGCCTCTGGCTGTTCCTATCAGACCAAATGGACAGCAGAACATTTTGTGGGAACCTTGAAGACGGGATGAGTTCTCCTGGTGCATTTCAGCAATATCGGTGACCTCTTTCCTCCTTAACAGGTTTTTTATTATGTTGAGGATCAGTAGTGGTCCATCAATTTCTACCTCTCCATCTGCTCTCCTCTATTAAGCTGCTTCTTAGCTAGATCTCTGAAAACCCAAGGCCACCTTTCATAACCTCAGATGTATATCAGTATCACTTAAGGAGCCCTTTCAAAACCACTACATTTCACCCAGCTTGCACCTACGAGGCAGAATCTTTCAGAGTGGAGCCCAGGCCAACAAATTTTGAAAAACAACCCCTCCCCCGGATGATTCTGATAGATCCTCCTTAGCTAAGGAAAGGGAATGTTTACTAGGCACCAATTATTCATAATCTCATTTAGTCCACATGATGGTGTGTTTGAAGGAGGGATCCTGCTCTCCATTTAACAAAAGCAGAAACTGCATCTCAGAATGGCCAATGGAATTCCCCAAGATCACCTAGCCAGTAAGTGACCGAGTTGGATTTCACACTCATGCAAGGCTGGCTCCATACTTTGTGGGATTCAGTGCAAGATGAAAAGGGAAATGGGGTTGTTCAAAAAGTATTGACAATTTCATGATGGAACATTAAACCAGTCACAGAGCCCTTCTGAGCAAGGAGTGCTGTGTCACTGCACAGACCCACACCCAAGGCTAACTCCAACACCATTTGTCCTTGACATTTGCCCTTCCATTTAGCGTGCTGCTTCAGGTGCAACTTTGGCTTTGGCTTCCTTTAGTTTCTCACAAGCCCTAGGACGGGGTAAGCCACCCTGCGCCTCTCATTCTCTCTGCCTCAAACAGCCCTTCACCTGCATAACATCTCCCGATCCTCAAAATCACAGGTTCTAATTAGATTCAGTCTCATACCACAAGGACGTCAGATTCTTGGGAGGACTCTCCTTATCTCTCTGGGAGGTGATAAGGTAGAAAGCTTCTGACATAATTGACACAGCCCCAAAGTTTCAAAAAATAAAGTGGAGAATACAGGAGAGAAAAAGAAAGAGATACAGCTGTATCCCCTCCTCTGTGGATCAGGAAAAAAGATGAGGGGAAATCCATTTACTTGTCTATACAGAATGTGCATGAGTCAGATGATAATTATCCAACTGTAGCTTCATTCTTATTAATGAAATCAGAGCCTGGATGACCATTTTTGGGGGTAATTCAAGATGAGGTTATTCTTCAGTGAAGGGCAATGAGGATGAGAAGTTGGAAAAAGTCATCCTTGCTCTATTTTTCTTTCACTGGTCATGAAAAGAAAGGAATGGAAATTCAGTAGAAAATGTTACATGCATTATAGATCCACTTAATAATATATGGCAAGTGGCTATGAGTGATGAGGCCTTTAGGAGACTCTGGTGACATCATCAGTCTAACTGCAGACTAGGGCTGAGGCATGTGGTGTTGATGAGGCTACAGAGAATGGCAGGCTTTGGTGCCTGCATTTATCATCCTTAGTCATCAGCTGCTTTCTGCTACATCTTAGAAGCCTGGACTCACTCTTTCTAAGCCTGGTGGGCTCCTTCAGTTCAATACACAGTGGTTCCATGGAAATAAAGCTATAGGAAAGTGGGAGAAGGCAAAAGCTTATCTGCCATATTGATCTGCAGCCACTCATGGCAAGCTATTTTCTAGAACCTAAACTTTGGTGCATGTAGTTGAATATGTAGGGTCTTGTATAGAAATGCTTTGGAGTCAGAAATACTTGGCTCCAATCCTACCTCCATCTCTCACACTAGCTAGACAACTCTAGGTGCCGTGTTTAGCCTGTCTGAGCTTCATATACCCATGAAAAATGGGAGCTAACAGTAGCTACCTTGCAGGGTAGCTGATAATGGAAGTAAAAAGTACCTAGGATTATGCTCATCAGTTAGGACGTACTCAATATATGCTAGCTCCCTGTCCAGTTTCCTAGTGATCCCACCAATAAGAAATGGCATTATGTGGCTTTAGAGTCCAGAAGAGCTCATTTCAAATCCTAGCTCTGCCTTTAATTTGTGTAACTATGAGCAAGTTACTTAGCAACTCTAAGCCCCAGTTTCCTCATCTGTATAATGAGACTAAGAATAGTACTTACCTTAGTTCATTCATTAGAAAAATATTTATTGAATGCTTTCCTATAACCCAGGAACTATTCTACCTTTTAGAAATATAGTAGTGGGGGCGCCTGGGTAGCTCAGTCGGTTAAGCATCCGACTTCAGCTCAGGTCATGATCTCACAGTTCGTGGGTTCAAGCCCCACGTCGGGCTCTGTTGCGGACTGCCAGCTCAGAGCCTAGAGCCTGTTTCAGATTCTGTATCTCCCTCTCTCTCTGACCCTCCCCTGCTCACGCTGTCTCTCTCTCTCTCTCAGAAATAAATAAAGCATTAAAAAAATAGAAATATAGTAGTGGACTAGACAAGGTCCCTGCCCCCATGAAGCTTACATTCTGGTAGCAGGGAGACAAGACCAAATAAAGATAACGCATTGTAAAATATTTTGCCCAGTGCCTGAAACATAGTAAGAATTTAATTAAGGTGTGCTTTATTATATTTTTCAGGAGTTCAAGGAAATACAAATTGTTTTCTTTTCAAAAGTTCAACGAAATATGCAGCACCAATGGATCTTAATAAATAGAATAATGGACCTGGGAGGGACTTGGAGTTGATCTTGTCATAAAATTCTGGAATAGAGCTGGCACAAAATTGGGAATTTGGTCTAGTGTTTTTCAAAATGGGGTTCTTTCCTGGGGAAGCACTGGGGAGGTCAGATCAAAGTAACATACCTATCTCATATACTCATATACTGGGATCCCTAGAGAAGAAAGCTTGTATATGTATATATACATATATATATGAATCTAGTCTAACAGCCACTTTATGCAGATCATAAACCTGCAGCTTAGAAAGGAGAAAACCTCTCTCTAGTTTGATGGCAGAGCAAGAATTGTCAAAAGTAGAGAGAGGACTTTTCTTTTTTTTTTTTTAATGTTTTTATTTTTATTTCTAGGGGAGAGAGAGAGAGAGAGAGACAGCGTGAGCAGGGGAGGGTCAGAGAGAGAGGGAGTCACAGACTCCAGAACAGGCTCCAGGCTCTGAGCTGGCAGTCAGCACAGAGCCCGACGCAGGGCTCAAACCCATGAACCACGAGATCATGACCTAAGCGAAAGTTGGACGCTTAACCGACTAAGCCACCCAGGCACCCCGAGAGAGAGGACTTTTCAATCATGTGATACTCTGCCCCTGTGCAAGCCATTAAGTCAGCAATTATCTGTTGCACGCCTCCTACTCAAGGGGTACCCTAAGGATTCAAAGTTATCTGTATTTCAGCCCTTCTAGAAGATTCCAAAACAATCTGGGAAGAAAAGGGTCCTGAACCATTACTTGTAAACTCATGCCAAGGTCCCAGCTACATTCCAATGAGAGGGGATTCTCTCTGGAGCCCTAGAACTATACATCTGTCTGTATCCAGAGTCCCAACTGGGAGGTCCCAGAGTCCTCAAATTCAACATATCCACACTCAGTATCACTATCCAAACTCACTAGCCTCTAAAATGGTCTCAATGACCCCCACCTTCTAGTAATCATGCCCTTGTGTAAGCTCTTCCCTTTGAGTGTGAGCTGCACCCGGCGACTTGTTTCTAAAAAACAGCAAAGGGCAGAAATGATGGGCTGTCACTTCCATTATTAGATTATAAAAAGACTGTGGCTTCCATCTTGGAAGGCTTTCTCTTAACTCTCTTGCTCACAAACTCTGAGGGAAGCCAGCTGCTGTGCTGTGGACTGCCCTCTAGAGCCACAGGTGACAAGAAACTAATGTCTCAGCCAACATCCAGGGGAGCCTGAAGCCTACCCCCCAAGCTCCTTCCCCAGTCAGGCTTTGAGGTGACTGTAGTCATTGCTGCCCTGTAAGAGACTGAACCAGAGGGAGTCCCCTAAGCCTAGATTCCTGATCCACACACACTGAAAGATTATAAATGTTTGTGAGTTTAAGCCGCTAACTTTGGAGGTAATTTATTACACAGCCAATTGATCATTAATACAGTACCTTTCTCTAAAATCGACTTTGCCTCCTGTATTCCTTATCCACCTAATTACACAAGTTAAAACTTTCTCCTTCATTTTTTACATCTAGCTGCTCACCAACTCGTGTAACATTCTACCTCCTGAAGAGTTTTCCAGAGCTGGCCCATCCCGCTCCTGGCCTCAATTGGGTCTGCACCAGCTCTCACCTGGACTAATTTAATAGCTTTCCCATTCATTTCCCTGTTTTCAATTTCACCTATCTAGTTCACCTGGCACAAGGGGCTGCCAGAGTAATTTTTCTAAAATGCAAACAGAGATTTAGCACTCTTCTGCCTAAAATCCCTGCCTGCAGAGTGAAGCCTGAGGTTCACAGCATGTCCTACAAATTCCTCTACGACCTGACATCTGTCTCACACTCCAGCTTTATTTCCTCCCTCTCCCCGCTGCAGATCCTGGGCTGTAATTGTGCTCAACTATATATATAACTATGTTATAGGACGCTTTACTACTTTCTCCTTTATACTCTTCTGCCTGGAAGACAACTTTACTGATGAAATATTTATTGAGCACCTACTAAATACTCGGTACTATTCTAGGCCCTGGGGAGAAAGCAGTCAACAAGATGAATGAATGTGATATGGTAGGTGGAGGCGAGGGTTGGTGGTTTAGAAGGATAACTAGGGAAGGCCTTGTCATCGCATCGTCTTCTGGCTTCCACAGTTTCTGATCAGAATAACTTTTTGGTTATTCTTT